GATCGCCGATTTTATCGGGATAAGGCCGACAAATAAACAGTATAGGAGGCTGTCAAGACCTAGTTGATTTGCCGCCAAAACTTATTGTCGAGTCAACTAGCTAGGAGCAGTGGTTTGAGCGCCACGTTGCGCAGGGGTGTCCATAATTTACGCGCGTTTGTGCGGTAAACCGCAAACGCGTGCGGTTGCGGCGTTTTACTCAAGTGAGGAATAATTAGTCATAATGTTCTCTAAAAAAATCGAGGCTGTATGAACATGACCATAGTGGTTGCAGCGGCTGCAACCACAATGTTCATGTTCATACAGCCTCACTTTTTTCGGGAACATTATGACTAATTAGATTGCGAATACCAAAAGCATAAAGATAGGAGATGACTACTAGCTGTAAAAAGAGCCTCGACTATTATAATGCCGTTATACTCCTAACTAATGCACTTCTTTTGACAGAGGTCATCCACCCTTCGCGCCCGCAATTAGCCTAAGACTGTGTTCCGACTTCGCGATTGGATCACGCACCACCGCGACGGCAGATTTTAAAATGGGCATCGTTCACACAAGGACAATTTGAATTGTGCCGTTGCGGCGGTGCACCGTTTGGCGGTGGAGCGCCCCTATCGTGGTCACGCGTTCCATTCGCGAAGTCTGAACCCGTTCTAAACGCCTGTTTTCTTTACACACTTTACGTGACACAGCGGAGTCCGAGTGGTAGAGGTTATGAATGTAACAATGCGAATATGATAAAGATAACGCTCATAGTAGACCGATCACCTCACACTCACAGCAAATACATCTACCCTAGAAGACAGACACATCGAGTCTACGACAACTTCTACCTATACCGAGGTAAAACGAAAGAGAATATCAAACACTTTCTGTGCATTTCAAGATAAAACGAGCATTATGACTGAATAAAACACGCAATATCACACATAGCACAGTTTAGTAAATATGAGGAGCATATAAATAGAAAATGAATATAAGCAACTTAAAACATACTGAGACCGGCTGCTGCTTTCTAGAATTTGCACATTTATGATACACCCGCATGATGGTAATCCTTATACTAGACTATACTCACAGAGAGAGCATCACTCTTCGAAAACTACATGAACTGCCCACGTGAATGATATTGCCCACTTAGATGAGGGATACGTAGCATTTGGGAGACGAACAATAAGGAAACGACAATACGGTATCCCCCATTAAGCTGCCACACTCATTGACATAAACTGCTCACGTTCCTTCGTAAGTGACGGATTTAGGTGGATTCGGGCCCGTCACCTCTGCTAGGACCGACGTCGGGACGAACGAGTGTAGAACAGCAGATAGGCTTTCTGTTTGAGCACCGTCTGCTCGGAGCATGCCTTTACGGACGCATCATTAAAGTGATACCAGTGGCCGTCTCGTTGACCGTAGGTTGTGTAGTGCCCTGATGTTACCCTGCAATCATTCAATATCTTTGTAGGAACAATCAAACATTACTGTAATCTCCAATCAGAGACACTTCATATGATTGCATATTGCGGATAGTGGCGTTCATTTACAAACCTTAGCCGCTAAGTGACGATCTAGGGAAGACAAAGAAAAGAAATATGAGAACACTCTATGTAAGGACCCCTGGCAGCCTCACTGCACGAGCTCTCCGAAACTCTTCGTTTTATGCCAGCAAAGCCATATCCTGCCGCCTTTGGCTTACTAATTGTGTCTTTGCGTCATTCAATACTAATACCAAACGGTGAATAATAAAAAAATGAAATTATAGTGGAAAAGTCAAGTTGCGTCAGAAAATAGCCTTCCATTCTTGGTGGGCGGAACAACTAGGGAGGCGTCAAAACTGCCACTTCGGAGGGCCGCAGCGCCCTCGTCCTTATTACGGAGCCGCGAAAAGGCAACAGTCATAGAGATAGTGAGCAAGACTTCTTCCTCAAGGGAAGACACCTACGATTTGGTTGAGCATGCTTTTGAATTTCAACTCTTTTTTCCTGTTGGGGAGCTTCTGAATTTCAACAATCCAAACAATGTGAACGTGACAAGTCTAATTAACGAGAGACACTTTCATTAGTTGCTTCACAGTAAGGAGCGGGGGGGGGGGGTGGGAAGGGGTGAAGTTGCTCTGGTTCAGCTGCATTGCTTGGAAGTTCCATCATTGCAGAGTGACAAATAACAGAATCAACCCCGGTTCGCATTATCCAAGTTGGCTGCTACTTACATTTCCTACTACTAATTGGGAATCTGCCTGATTTAATACACAGCAATGAGGTGTGGACTGATTCATAACTAGATAGAAGAGTGTAACTGTTTTTCAGACCAACCCCAGTTTAATACTGACGCATCCGTTGAAGAAGTTGAAGTGAATTTCCGCGCTAAACCGTTTCGTAAGCGTCCTTCCTTTCAAGTAGTTTGGTCGCACTCTCCGAGAATGCTCCTTTTTCAAGGCTTCATCGTAAGTAACGAAGGCGCTGCGGCCTCATAAGTGGCAGTTCTGACGCCTCCCGAGTTGTCCCGCCCACCAAAGGCTATCTTCGGTCACCAGTTCAGTTTTTACACAGTGTTTTTTTTCGTTTTTTTTTCCTCTGTTAGGTGGTATCACTACTGAGTGACGCGAGAAAACGATTAGTGATCCAGAGGCGGCAAGATATCGCTTTGCTGGCATGAAACGAGCAGGACTAGACAACTCGTTCAATAAGGCGGCCGGGGTCTTCAATTAAGATTCTCTATCATATTTTTTTTGCTTTTTTCTCCAGTAGAAAGTCACTTAGCGATACGCAGTTTGTTCGCGGGTTGTCTTTAACTAACACTCAGTAATGATGGGTGGAGTGCCTCTTAATCTGCAATGCTAACTTTATCAATTTTCAGCCCGACCCCTGCTCTTCACGGACGCATGCTTTGAACAACTTCATCATGAAACTTCAAAGCTATCACGGAAGTTTCTCATGAATTTCACATGTTACATATGTTTTCCTCATTAAAAAAGAGTCAGAACACACTAGGACAGCACTGCTCGCAGATTGCCGATGCAAATATGCTCTGACGCACTGCATCGAGCAAAGCGGAAAGCGCGAGGGCTTAGGAGCGCTATAAAAACTAGTTCCAGTTTTTCGAGCTGGCAGAGTTGGCTCTACATCGCAATTCGATAAGGCAAGGCAAAATATTCATAATGCTTCGCTAGCAATTTTCCTGGAATTGATGATCTGGTCGAGAGTAAACTAAGCAGCGCAGACACCTCATCATATCCCTAAACTGCTAACAAACAGTTTTGAATTTCTTTCCGCGCCCTGCTGCATTTGTGCACAAGGGAATGGAGGCTTCTCTCATATGTGGTTATCATTTGTTTATGTTCGGAAAGAGACAGCTGTGAGTTCCCTGAGAAAAGAACAACAAATTTTAGTTCGGTTTTAATTTCTCGTTATATTACCCTTTAATCAAGGGCTGACCAAATCACCAAATGGATGAAACGACAAGAAGCCCATCCCACTTTTCAGGCCAGAAAATCGATGAGGATTAGAAAAAGAAGGCAAATAATGACAAAGTTTATGACGCTATAAACGCGCACTCACGCTATTTAGTCTAAACTAATCGCAGCATCTGTTGCAGCGTTTCATTACAAGGCCTTTGACGACCCAGGATTAGTGAGAAGCCTATCTCCAGCCTGATCGCAGTAGAGATACTGACAGGAGGCAACTGCATGCAGAGGGAAGCTACGACAGTTATGATTATAGGGCTAGTTATCTAGCTTTTGATTCTTGGGCGAGTGAATGTGTAGGGTAAACTCATCATTGGCATTCGATTTCAGAGTTTAAGCGTGGATCAAAACCGTCGCATTAGATGAAGAGCACATGCCGATCGCAGACAAGAGCAACCCCTGGTTGTAACTTGCTCGCTACCTTTACGAGGACAGCGATAATTTTCGTCAGGAACGAGGGATTCAGGCCCAAGAATGGGATGCGCGCATAGCACTATTAGGAACCGTGTGGGTGGGGAAGCAGGGTAGGCCTAATAATCGCTACTGAATCTGGTATCCGTTACAAACTACATAAAGTTTACGCAACGCAGCACAATCGCAGTCATTGAGCTCCCCTTCGCTTTGTCCAAGTAGTCGCGGTTGGCATGTCTGCTGTCTTTCACGGCTCCAACAGTTAGCGACAAAAGGCGCTGTGGCCTCGCTTGGGCAGTTTCTTGACCCTGCCTTAGTTGTCCCTCCGAAAGTCAAAGACTATTTTGTGGCAAAAGTTCAGTTTTTGCATCGTGTTTTTCGTTTTTTTTTTCTCTGTTAGACGGAACCAGCGAGGATGGATGAGAAAAAACTGAGAAGTAACAGCCGGGGCGGGAGGATCTCGCTTTGGTCTCATAGAAAGAGCAAGTCCGGTGAGTGATGTTGCCAAGCATCCTCGCTTAGGCTTATCTCAATCATTGTGACCTCTCTTCGGTAATGCCGCTTAGCGGCAATAGGTTTGTAAGTGCACACCACTATCCACAATAGTATGCAACCGCAGGGCTTGTCTTTAAACATCATGAATGTCTATTGAGATCGGGCAAAAATCTCTGCCTCCTCTACAAATGTAACAAAGATCCTGTTGTGGATGTAAGTTTTTGAGAAACGACTGGAAGAGAAGGATGGCGCAGTTCACCTTGGAGGGGTCATTTACCTAGTTCCCATGAACGTAAAGCCCTGTAAACACTTTTAATACTAAAATACTACACAAAAGAACTCTTACAGTTTCCCAAGTCTTTAAGGGTTCACATGTTTCACATGTTTCCCCAACGAGGCCCAGCGAGGCGTATTCCGTTCCACATCTTTCACCGAGGTGAAGAAAGCTATGAAAATAACGAAACAGCAAACGCCCCCTCCCCCACCACCCTCAGGCCAAACAGTGCACCTGAAAGTCTTTCCTGATCCGATGCCGAGTACTAGAATAAGGATTATCAAATGTTAAAGAATTTCAACAAAGAAAAAGATTGGGGAGGTGGGAAGGTTTGCAGGAAAAAAGCGATAAAAAAGTTCACCCTGATCCGTGATGAACAACAACAGATGACAAGTCGAAGGTGATACTACCAGAGCTCTCAGCGACGCGTGAAGCTGCGCACTGGAAATATTCACGTCTCAAGTACCTACTTGACAATATCGTGTTGCACTTCTTCCAGAAACCCTGGTCATTCCTTCCACTAATTCGATTTAAACGAGGCACCTCGAAGGGAACGAACGACTCATTGTAAACATTGACTGAACAGAGGGTATTAAGTTCCCAAGACATCGCGTTCAAACGAACCTGTGCCATGAATGGTGTGATATCCAGACCGCTCAGTGGGAAATCGACCATGTTATCGAGTTTAGCTCTATTGAAATGCGACCACCGAAAGCGTTTCAAATGAAGACACAGCACCTTCAAAATCTTTCTCGAATACATAATCCATAAAGAGCACAACTTGCACTGCTTACATTCGGCAGCACTCTCAAGAAGAGCTGCTTAGTGGCGGCCGTTTGTCTTTGCAATTGCTGCACATATACTGCTCGCAATGATCTAGTTCTTCCTTGGCGAAAAATCGCTTTATGCATTCCGACAGCCGCACGTTACTGGCCCTTCCATTCGCAGCAGGGACGAATATATCGAGCGACAAGTCTTAAATCGTTTCATTATGAGCGAGCACTTAAAACCACAAATAGTCTTGTCCACTGCGGATGATGGGTGTGTCAGGAGGGATAGCTTAGGCGCGGCGCCAAACCCATTTTCCACTAATCTTCGAAGCGAGCAACAAATACTGTATCATATCGTACTTAACAGAGGTTTTATACCAACTGCTGTCGTCGCCCACCTCAACAACTGGCGGAAAACAAGCTGGCGGCGTGCCAACCATGCCCTATCATTCGCAGTAAACAAGTATATAAGTTTATAAGTGTAATTTCCCCATCATACCATACCTAGGAAGGGATCATGCTTATTGCTCGCAGTGTGACATGTCAGGCAGACCACCTGGCTTTGCAAAGAACCTTCAAACAAGGTCGTGACTGCGGAGCCATTTGGCGATTCACTGCCTCCACATGCAGCGGCCAACCACTGATCCACTGATTCCGGCAATCGGCATCGTCTCAACTCCGAGTGGACTCGATCCATCGTACAACGCAGGAATTCATGAGCATCTTGTTGGTGGTATCCTCTGTAAAGTAGAACTGAAAATTGTTGGAAACACGAAAAATTCCAAGTACGCACCTAAATCTAGGAGAAATTTTCCATACGGATTGGAACAGCTCATCGGGTGAGACTGCCTGATCGCATCGAAGGTCACCCAGACGAATCATTACTTTCCGCAGTTCTTCAGCAAGCACTCTGAATTAGCTCATATCTTACCCAATAAGGAAGATGAAGATGTTCTTCTATGGGTAGTTTTTGACTTTTTTCAAAGGCACAAGACACGATAATTTGGTACTTGTCAAAAATTGTAGCAGGGTGCTATATAGTGGGACAATGACGAAAAAGCGAAGGCAAATGACCGAAGGCCTGATAAAAACTTTTGTTCTGCACATTGGACGAGCATTTTTGAACGAGTTCATCGTTGGCAGTGTGCCAACAACCGCTTTCATACATACGGCTTGGCATGTGCGTTCATACATCCATGTAGCAACGCTTCATATCAGTTGTACTTCATAAATGAGCGATAAGAGTACCAGCGTCGATGTGACTGTCCGGCCATTTGTGGGCGGGCGTGCAGTGGGCGTTTGGGTCTGCATGTTGCTCCTTGGTTAGACGCTATAGCGCCCTTGCTTGGAAAAGGACCACGCAGCCTCTTTCCGGGATCAATATATAGGATATGTGTTGCCGATTTATCGTGCCACTCGTCTTGAATTTGCTGCGCATGATCGCAACGCGTGATCCAAATTCGGAGTCATACATAGCTTTGGCGAGGATGTGAGATGGTTTTCTTGATAGTGAGTGAAACTTCCATTTCCGTTAGCACACGCTGTTTTTAAAAAGAGCGTTTCCAGTAGTAAGATGAATTAAGGAAGAAGCGGAGAACAACGAGCAGTTCACAGTCTTGCGCTTATGTCCAGACAACGTTAGCTTCAGTATTCGTTGATAAGTCGAACTCTTCACTGTCCAAGAGGTGATGTTGATGTCCTTCTCCAAGTCAGCACTCTTTTGCGCTTAAAATTTGCACTTGAGAGAACTCAAATTCTTATCCTGTAATTCAGATGTGGGTGCAGTGAACCCGAGAAATGCGCTAAACAAAGACGACGTCACTAACGGCTATTGGAGAAAGGAGCCGCCCGTGAAATCCAATAAAGAGATTATTTTATTTCCTCTTGTGGTCCAAGCATGTAGGATAATTTGATCAGGTGGAATTCTCCCAGCATTTTGCAGTAGAGAACACATCATACAGACTAGTCTCCATCCTTTTTTAGGATGAGGGAAGTAGTCATCCCGATCGAGTGGGCGAAGAGGAGGTATCATGCTGGACTCTCATCATCTTTGTGTATCTCTCCCACTTCGGATTGTCATTTTTCTTTACCACAGCTTCACTTCTAGACATCCTTCTCTGTGTTTCTTCGCCGCAGTCCGCACTTTGAGAGTTACCTCCAGACTGCACAGTTATAGGCAACGTGCCCGCGCTACCGCCCGGTCAGTCCTTACGACTAACAATAGACAAGCGCGCTATTTCTCTGCGCTCTCTCGCTTCGGGTTGTTCTCTTCTACTGAATACGTATTCAGCTTTCACCCTGCTGCTACTCTGATATAGACGCAACTGCTGCATATAGCGCTGGCGGGGTACAAGATGGCACCTGGGTACCACTACCCTATAGCACCCGTTCCTCTGCAGTTTGAGCGGAGAAAGTGGCACGCTGCTGCACTCATTCGCCTCGCACATTGCAAGGACTGTCGTTTAAAAAGTGAAGTTCTGCTCCCAGTTTCTTGATTCGAAAATAACACCCATTGCGCCATCGTTGGGAATATTCAAATCTATTCATCGCTCAAAACATTTCGGCAAAAGCCTCGCCATGTTCTTGTTTCACTGTGCTAGAGAAATAAGTGTAAAAATCAAAAGCCCCACGTAGGCGTTGAGGTCGATGCAGTAGAGGTTGGAGTGTTAACAGCTGATGCAGCTCGTCTCGTATTGTATCGCGGACTCGCCAACGGTTGATGATCATCGTTAACTTCATCATCGGGTTGTAGAAGTGGGAAGCTGCACAAGATATCCGCGAAACACATCGGTTGTGCTGAAAGGAAAAACAATAAGTGCATTCCAAGAAACCGCAGTATTAGCGACACCCACTTCAACGCTTGGATGACTGAATTCATGAAGCATGTGTTGCCAAGGTTTTTCAGTCCTCGCAATTCTACACGAACACGCGGCTGCTTCCCGAGATTGTAGTCAGAATCCAAGCTCGGAGATGGAGGATACGAAGAAAGCGAAAAGCTCAACTGAAAATTTGTTTCTTAATTCTTACGATGACATTGGCCAAACCTGCCAGTCGAATGCTGGAAACTGGGAAGTATAAGTGTTCAGTTATAGACAGCTTCGGCGCTGTTTATCGACAGGGGCATTCTGCTTTTCATAGATTTGCCAACCCATCTAGGTACCCTTTTTTCGAGTTGACACGTTTTAGGATGGTGGCTAGACGATCTTGCTCCAGCTTCACAAGCGTTCACAAGTTTTACCAGAGTGAGATTTGTAAACCGGAACCAGGGAAGCAATTATAATACAAAATGCCCCCCCCCCGTCGATGAACAGCGCCGACAGCTTCTTCAAAACTGCCTGGAAGTCACGCTAGCAGACAAATTTGAAGTCCAAAAAAGCCTATCAGGGGAACTAGAAGCGATGTTGCATTAAAAGTCGTACATTTAGGAAGCTTCTACTTAAAAACAAGTTTTAGTTGCCGTGTTGGCTGCAGCCGATACAGGGAACGTAAACACGCGCAAACTGGAATGATAGTGCAAATTTGAATGAAATAAAAAATTTTGCTCAATAATACCCTTTTTAGTACAACTCGTATATTGAAAAAGGTATTTTGAACCGCTGAGGGGTAGAACCCCTTGTGACAAAATTCCAGCTCATCACGACACCGCCTAACAAATCGATGTCTCGATGACCAAACTCATCCAATAGGCAGCAGGTAAGGGGCTGGCCTTCTCAAAAAAAAGTAAATTTCGATTTCACTGCAACTTTGTCAGCGTTCAAACTAATATTAATTCACGGTATCGCCTTGTCTTCTCGGCAAACGCTCAGAGCCTCTAAGTTGAGAACAAAGTTCAAAATAAAGAAGATTCGAGTTCTTACTTTTCGTTTGCGCGGTCGTAGCGCTCTTCCACCAACAAGGGGTCCAGATCTGTTGATGCCTATGTCTGGAATGACTTTCGATGACGACTGCTGCTCGGGAACTTGACGAGCTGGTCGACCTTCGTCTTCCGGAACGGACCCACTATCTTCGTCCATGTGGATTATTCTAGAACAAACAGGTTTTATTGTGCAGTTCACGTTTAAGGCGCTTATGTTCACTTCAAACAAGGATATACGACACCTTTCCGATACAGCCTGGCTTATCCCATCTTCATCCTCTTCTTCCGTAGTCAAATCTACGGAATCCTCTGCATCGTACATAGCGTTTTCATGTGAAGCCACATACAGCTGAGATGAATAACTGTGGTCGGCACATCTTAAAATATGAGCTAAAGCGCTTGTCAATTCAGAATAAATAGGCGAACCTTATGATGTTCCTTGCCATGCTTGTGAAATGCGGTCGCATTCATTGTTTTACTCTTACGAATTTGGAGCATTTGATTATTCCTATACTGTTTGTCCTGTTGAAGTAAAGGAGGGTAATGTGCTAGCTTGGTATCGGTCAGAGAGCAGCAACGGTGAAGCAAGGCCTTGAGAATGTTCTGTAGATCGGAAAGAATTCAGTCATAAGGGAAACCAGTCTTCTGAGAAAAAAATCACTCAAAAGCAACCCCACTACTTTCCATTAAGGCCTACAAACTCGTCAGACGCGCCAAGTGTTGTGAAGTAATGCTGGTGCTCGTTCTGCATGTTTGGAGAAGAATATGTGACCAACCCTGCAAAGTAACCCACCACAAATGGCCACTCGACCTAATATGATCCTTCATAAAAACTATGACGTAGCTGTCAGGAACACTGGTAATGACATCACATTTTTGTTACTGATTTTTTTTGTTCCAGAAGAGAAGTTTTATCAATGACATCACATTTTTGTTACCGATTTTTTTTTGTTCCAGAAGTTTTATCGTGGCGGATGTTATCCTAATCGTAAGCTGATCATCTCCCGTTTATCGCATTTAGAGCTTCATACAAAGATGCGTATCGCCTCAACGATGCTAATCTCCAGTCGCCACTTTAAGAAGGCGTGATCGTGGTTCATCTTTCGGGTTCATCTTTTTTTAAGCTGAATACCACTTATTAGTCAGTCGCACATTCAAAACATCTCGCATGAGGAGTTAATCCAAAAAATCTAAATCAATCTAATGTCCGGAGGAGTTCTAGGATGCGTTCAGAGTTCATGCTTCGAGCGACCCAGCGACTCGAGCAGTTGCAACCAACCCCGCCCAATGGTGATCGTCGGACCGCTGCAACAGCTACTTCGCTCACAATTATCCAGAAAACATCCAATGTGGCAGCGATCCGAGACGACTAGTGACCATGCGCTTATTGGTCCCACAGTCGCACATATTATTACCAAATCCTGTAACTCGATTTTGCGTAGCATGAATATGGTCTTGTAGCATACAAACAGTTTTGTAGAGCAAGCTTGGAAATAAACTCATTCTTCTTTGTCCGCTTTTCGAACTCAACGACTTTTCAAAGCGAATTCATCGTATTTTTCGAAGCTGAAATTCACATTTTTGAAAACTTTACGCAATTTCGAACCAAAAATGTCAACAGATTCCTATCACGGAATCCAGATCACACTGAATCGACTCGTAAGCTACCGCGACATCGGCCGGAGCGTGCCGCAACACACGGCCCACTTTTAGGCGGCCATGACTTTTTAAGTTTATTTTGCAACTTCCGCGACATTCGCGTACGCACTAACGGAAAAGGATTGATATGCCAACATACACGCACTCCGCCCTTTCGGAACCCTCAAACTTTTTTCAGCGCTGTTATTCTCACATACCTCTAACAGCAGATGAGTAAACTACAAACACTGTCACTTATATAACTGACAGCTAGCTTCCGATCCCTTGCAGCGCCCCTCCTCGAGATTTTGCGCATTTTTCTGGCAAACAGTTGGGTCTTTTTTTTCAAAATTTTCTCAACTCTGAGCAGCACCCTACCTCCGCCCATTTCATGGAGGTCCCGCGTATTAACGCAATGTCCGAAATTGGGTACGCTGGAACCCATTTAGCGTAAGCTCGTGCGCGTTCAAAACAAAAAAAAAAGGCAAGGTTGTTAGCGAGAGACGGTCCCGCTAGATTGAGGCATTTTGGAGGCAGTTGACACGATACTTTGGAAATCCGCTTACAATGCTAGCAGGGCGCTATATAGTGAGAAAATGGCGAAAAAACGAAATGAAACGGCAAACTGCCAAAAACGTGCGAAGAAAATCCTTCGTTCTCAATGACTCAAAAGCAGTTTCGGACGAGTTTAGCGGTGCATCTCGCCAATAACGGCTACAATAGGCACGGCTGCCTGTATGTGCCCATATATCCATGGCACCGCTGCCGCTCCATACTAAACCCTCGCTTCATATTTCGCTTGGCAAACGAAGCAGTACAGCATCAAGGTACCAGGGTCGTCCAAGTGTGGCGGGGGCGTGTGGGGTGTAGTGTGCTTGAGCAGGACCCTTCAAGACTCTTGGAAAAGGCCGCTACGCAGCACCTGCTCAGGGTCGCGGAATCCCATCCTGCCAGGCGTATTAATCCTACTCGTCCACGGATTCATCACACAAACTGCCTTTAAAGAAACGGGTGGTCGATAGGCGAAGGGAGCGGAGTCCTCATAGTGTTCAGAGCTGCTGAAGAGATGTGAAAAGAGATAAAATATCGAAAAGTCGCAAAAAAACCCCACTCGCACGGAAGCGGTCAAAGAGGGGGAAGGGAGCTTGCAGCACTGTCTAGTTTAACCGGCTTGATTAACTGTTCGGCGTAGAAACTTGCGAACTTCAAAAGAAAATGATATATATTCAGTCAATAACCCCACATATTTCATTTTTAGTGCACAGCGAAGCAACATGCCATTTATGCTTCATAAATCTTGAAATCATCATCGTGCACTGTGCTCATGACCGACCTGGCTTTGTTGAAATAAGCCAAGGAGTGACGAACAGACGAGATCTTGCCATCTTCAGTGTCGTCGCCGACAAAGTCGTCAACATACATAGCTAAAGAGCTACGTAAACAAACTTATGGCTTCATCATAACCACTGATACACAGACATTTGTAGGAAAATACATGCAATATGAATTTAATTCAATAGAAATGCAGTCAAGTTCAGCGCTTTTCATGCTCAGGGAAGGGAGGGTCAGCAATAATGACCTCGAAAGGACTACTTGAAGGACTCCTCATGCAGAACTACAATTAGCATGATATATACTGCGGAAATGGAGATAAAGATTTTTGTCTAAGCCTGAAAGATGGAGGAGCTCCGCGGGAATGAACCAATTTCGCGAGGATCATTTTTTCTGTGTCGAATGACGTTAACAGCATTCAGCACAAGATTCCTTGAAACCCTCCTTCAGGGCCCACGCTATCTTCGTCGTCCTCCCAAGATGGCATACTGACTAGAACAACTTGTTGACGTGTCGCATCGAAGATGCTTTACCATAACGCTTGTAGTGTGTCAGGGATCATTTTCAACAGTGCCGCGTAGAGGCTCGGAATCAAGAGCAGTGGGCAACCAGTACATGGACCATCTTCCGATAAAAAAGTGCCTTCTCGAAGTAACCTATACCAATGGCGTGTCATGGGTGGAGAGTGTGAACCCTTTCTATTGCCTAGTAGGTCTTTGCTGCGGCCTGCCGTTGAGGTAATCCCAGCGGACGCACAAAAAACAAGTTTGTCGAAGGGCATCTCGGTAAAGTGGAGCAGTAGTTATCGAAAGCAGCATAGTTGCCCTAGGCTGCGCTCAATTTTGCGTTAGTGTCCATCAGCGTTCGCGAGCGCTTCAAGCGTACGCCAGCGCCAGCGACCTGGAATCTATAGATATCGATCTAGCAAGCGCCGGCGTCTACCACCGTACAGCAGCATTTTCGCGGGGCACTTTTGAACTTGAGCAAAACTGCTCGCGAAAACGCTGCTGTACGCTGGTAGACGCTGGTGTTCGCTAGATTAATATCTATACTTTCCTAGCCCCTTCGAACGGTGGTTGGACGCTGGCGGACGCTAGATCGATATCCATATTTTCCTATTTGCTGATTAACGCCGGTTGAGGCCACCAGACGCTTGTGTTCGCTAAATCGATATCTATACTTTCCTAATCGCAGGCGCTGGCGTACGCTCGAAACGCTGGTAGTCGCTGCGGACGCTGACGCAAAATATGAACGCAGCCTTACCCTAGTCGTTTTTGCTTTCTTGGAAAGAAACTCGACTTGTAAAGAAATACACGATTAGATGTATTAAGTATTATGCCAGCATTGATGGCGAGGTGAAAGCACCAACTGTTCACAGCCGTACCAACTTAGAAGGGAAATGAGAGCCTTCAAGACTTTCGTGACAGAAACTAACCATCATCAAAATAATTCAGATAAAGGCTTTTGACAAAAGGAGCACTACAGGGAAATTGACCCAATACGGGTAATGTGTCGCATATCTTAGGACGTTCTGCTGGTACAGCAGAAACGGTTTTGGCCTTCGCAAATCAAATTAGGCTGACCTAAGATCGCACTTTATGCCGCCATTTTTAACTCTCCTTCAAATCTCTAACGTTTGCTTTGTTTTACTGCATAAAATTCAGGAGTAGCGTGATAAGAAGATTTTGGGTGTGCCTCCCATGCGTGCCAATCCCATCCGAATTTCCTAGCAAGTTAAAATGTCCCCAAAAGAATTGACGGCATTGAAGTTGCACAGTTATGACTTTTTTTTGCTGAGAACCTACGAAAACCAACAACTCACCAGAACACCTCATAGGTTTGGCAATGCATCAACACACAATGACGAGGATGTTTCATTTCGTTGTGGTGCTTCAATCCATGAGCGTTTACAAATCGACCGCAGAAAATGAGGCCGCACGCTAAGCACAACCACGGACTTTCTGATGAATCGCACGTGAC